AGCAATATTTTTTTGAAGTAGCTCCTAGAGTAATGGAAATAAAAGCAAAAATAAACAAATGAGACCTAATTAAACTTAAAAGCTTTTGCACAGCAAAGGAAAACATTAACAAAACAAAAAGACAACCTATAGAATGCGAGAAAATATTTGTAAATGACATGACTGACAAGGGATTGATTTACAAAATATACAAACAGCTCATACAGCTTAACATAAAAAAAACAAACAACTCAATCAAAAAATAGGCAGAAGACCTAAATAGACACCTCTTCAAAGAAGAAATCCAGATGGCCAACAGGCACATGAAAAGACGTTTAATGTCACTAATTATTAGAGAAATGCAAATCAAAACTACAATAAGGTATCACCTCACAACAGTGACAATGGCCATCATTAAAAAGTCTACAAATAATAAATGCTCAAGAGGCTGTGGAGAAAAAGGAACCTTCCTATACTGTTGGTAGAAATGTAAACTGGTGCAGCCACTATCGAGGACAGTATGGAGGATTCTTAAAAACTAAAGATAGACTTAACATATGCCACTCCTGGGCGTATATCTAGAGAAAACTATAATTCGAAAAGACACATGCACCTCAATGTTCATAGCAGCACTATTCACAATATCCAAGACATGATATCAACAGGTGACTGGATAAAGAAGATGGGGCATACATATACATATGCAATGGAATGTTACTCGGCCATAAAAAAGAATGAAATAATACCATTTGCAGCAACATGGATGGACCCAGAGATTATCATACTAAGTGAAGTTAAGTCAGAGAAAGACAAACATCATATACCACTTATATGTGGAATCTAAAGAAAAAAATGATACAAATTCTATTTACAAACCAAAAACAGACTCATGGACATAGAAAATACTGTATGGTTACCAAAGGGGAAGGGGTGGCGAGGGATAAATTAGGGATTGGGGATTAACAAACACATGTTACTATACGTTAAAATAGATAAACAACAAGGACCTACTGCGTAGCACAGAGAACTATATTCAATTTCTTGTAATACCATATAATGGAAAAGAATCTGAAAAGAAAAAATGTATATTATATATATGTGTAATTGAATCACTTAGTTGTATATCTGAAACCAACACTGTAAATTAACTACATTTTAATTAAAAAAAAAAGAGGGAGGGAGAGAGACTGAAGACATAAGGAGGAGACTGAATAGCCAGTGAGATAGTCCCACTCCCTCCCCAAATTCCACTAAAACAAAGATAAAGGGTTTTGTTGCTGCTTTTGTTTGAAAGACAAACTTATAAGAAGACATGACAAAAACATGGAAGCTAGAAAGCTTATGGCTGAGTAGTAAACAACTCAGCAGACCTAACGAAAGCAAACGAATACTAAGCAAGCACTGAAGAAAAGCAGAGGAGCGATCTACATTATGTAACCTCGAAAACCTCCAGAAGCAGCCGAAGTGAAAGTGGGACTAAAAGCAAGATTGAAAGCATGTTTAAGAAAAAAAGTTAATTCCCAGATTTCCTCCTTTTGTGCCACCAGCTGTAGTCTCAGGTTCAGTCGGACAGGATCTGACAGATCACAGCTTGGCACCAGGTTCACTTAGTTCTGCAGAAAGACAAAGACAGCATGCTAGCATGGGACAAGCTGTCTTCACAAGGGATCTATACAGCCCATCTGGGGCCTTTTTTGGCCCCACCATTGTAAGGGAAAGAGATCATGTGAATAAGTACAGGAATCACCGTGGCTTAGGGCAACTTCATGCTCCACAGGAACCAACAGTACATTTTAACAGTCAAAGTATGTAGGTTCTGGGCTCCTCAAGGGATGTGTTCATGCTCACTTAAAAGAGTTACACACTGCACACCAGAAAGTCAAGGTCAGTGTTTTCACAGGCTTCTATAGTTCGCTCACAGTTTTTGTGGTCCATATACACTCACCAACCAGGGTCAATTTACAATAAGCAATGCTACCTGGACACAGTCTCTATTTATTAGTCAAGTTTCTAGCGAAAGAATGTCAAGAGAAGGAAAACCCAAAGTTACTCCCCATGAAAAAAAGGACTTAGATGTGCTATTAACCCTTTCCACTTAACTCAGTGATTCTCAAATGGGGGCAATTTTGCCTCAAAGGGAACATGCAGCAATGTCTGGAGACATTTCCAGTTGCCACAATGGGAGGGGTGTACATAGTACTGGCACCTAAAGGGTAAATGAAGGGATGCTGCTGAACATTCTACAACGCACAGGATAGCTCCTCACAACAAAGAATTATCTAGCCCACAATGTCAAAAGTGCTGATGATTTAGAAACACTGACCTAGAAGGATTAAATGGAAGCTCACATTGAGAACAGCTCCATACCCCGTGCCTTCTTTCCCAAATGGGCTGCTAAAGCACTGGCAGCCAAGCATATGCCCTCCATGCAGGGGGTTGGAAGAATCACCTCTGGAGAAGCTTACCCACCTGAGAGAGAAGTGTTTACTCTAAGAATGATCCTAGAGTAAAGACTACAAAAGACAAGGAAGAATTTTAAGAAGATGAAATTAATAGAACACTAATTTTGTTTGAACCAAGTAGGAGAGTTAATCAATTGGGAAAAAGTCTAGAGTTGAAATAGTAATAAACATACAAAAAGTTATTTTAAAATCTAAAGACAGTTCTTAATTCCAGGAAAAGCAAAATGTAATGTCCCAAAAAGGAAATGTAATAAAACTATACACACTTTAGCAGTAAACTGCATGTATATAGTCATGATAATATAAACACTGAATAGTAACACAACAAAAATATATTAGAAGGATGGGGGACCAGGAGGAGAAAAAAGAGGGGAATTGTCTAGGGAGTGCCATATGTAAATCTTTCAGAGTGAGAAGTTAGCAGATAAAATACACATCAAGAAATAGCAGTATGACTATAGATTTAATGATAGAGAGGTAAATACACTAAGAATTGGCTAAAGGAGCAGAAAGTGCTTACTCCTAGGAGAATACAGCGCGCATGAGTGTGCGTCTGCATGTGTAGCAGAGCTTTTGGTAACAAGTCCCTTTAGAACTTTATAACTAACTCTATGCATGCAAAACTAATTAAAATATTTTTTAAAAATTGTACTTCAGCCTAGGGACAATGTGATACACGGTTTTGGGATCTAGTAAGCCTTCCTTAGTTTTCTTGGTTTGAATCAGAACAGATTAGATTCATAAAAAAGTATATTGAAGCAAGTTGCAGGTTTGTTAAGCCACTTTTCTACACATCTGGACAAGGCAAAAGAACAGGCTGGATAGAGAAGACCAACTCCTTTTCTTGCCTTTTTCCTGGTTTACTCACCAAACCTTACATTAAACTTAAACATTATACCATTAAACACTGGTCTCCTTGCCATGATACCACTAGGTATCATGGGAAGTGTTTGTTGGGAGAAGACTTGTCACTTTTTACTTTATTTGCTCCTCTACTGTTTGAACTTATAATGAGTGTGCTCCTACAGAGTGAACTTTATAATGAGTGTATTTTTACAGATGGAAACACACACACACACACAGATTCTTAATTAGTTCATAACCTGTCCTTATGCATCCTGACCCAACTGAAAATAATCTCGAAAAAAGGAATCCTTAGAAAGAAGGAATATCAACACACAAAACCCAGAATAACCAAGAAAGCACATCCCTGATAATATATTGCTCATATCTCAACAGGTTAAGTCTAAAAGACATGAATGATGCATGCCAAGTAACTGGTGCTAAATATAATGCCCAGGTATCACAAGAAATCATTTTCAAGTTCTCTATAGAATATATACCACTTAATAAGTTTCATTTTAAATAAATGAACATTTTTTTCTTTGATATAATTTGCTAACCTTCTTTACAAGCAATAAAACTCAAGTTTATCTCCAAGCCACATGACTTATGCTTACTTTGTGCTCCACCATGCCTAGAATGAAGCTAGGTATATGAGTGGATATCAAGGGTTACTGACTGATGGAAAGTAATCTAATGAATTAAATAAGTGGTGGGGGGGGTGTCAATAATATCAAGTAACAGGAGTAAATAATAAATTTCTCAGCAATTCCTTAACCAATGTTTTGTAAGATTTTACCTTCGTATTAATACAAATTATTTTACCTTGTATTAGAGAGCACTGTAGATACAAACTAAATGGAAGGTTGGACTTATTCTTCCCCACTAATTTTCTTCTTTCTTGTTGCTACTTTATATTGTAACAAAATTGCCTTCTCCTTGATGAAAAGAACTCAATCAAGAATTCACCTTCACCAAACTCAGTGTTGGCTAAACTTATTTTATCACAAACCCATTCTTATCACCCCATCACATCCAGAAAAACTTCATCTTTTAAAAATCTGTTCATGTATATTATATCACTTTTGATTCTCTGAACCACAGTATGAAGAAGGAAGACCATGTACTATTAGCTCCAGTTTACGATGAGAAACTGATGTTCACAAAGAGTAAATAACTCATTTAAGGTCCTATGGGTAGTGAGCGGTAAATAAAACAGCTGGAACCAAGATTTTTGATTCCAAGCCCAATGGTTGTTTCCACTACCCAAACCTGACTCTTTGATAATAAAATGGAGTAAACCCTGAGAATTAGAATTTGGAGAACTACAAATGAATCATTTTCTCAAGTGGTTATTTTATAATAAACATATATTATAAATTACTATCAGCTTAATAGCTATCGTAACTTCGCAAAATATCATTCAATATAGATCATATTTCAAGTTTTTTAATCATGTGATACAACTGACATTAAGGACTTCAAATAGTCACAAGAATAAAACTGAAAAAACTAAATCTCTTCTTAATCACCTTTGACACTGCTGCATCTGGTAATACATTCTTTCCGTAGTTTGATTTTAAAACTTAGCTCAGAGGTATCCTTGCCAATTTCATATGTAGAAAAAGCAAAGTTAATTAAAATTGCATTTAAAAAATATCATTTTCTCCTTATTCTAATACTGAAATACCAGGGAAGAAGGTTCTATCCACTTACCTCAGTAATGGGCTGCCCCTGATGTGTCAAATCCAGTTCCTGAGGGCGTGTTACTTTATCAATATCCAAAGAGTCCATGCTGGAGGCTGCGGAAGTGATGCTTGAACGAGAGGAGTTACTGACCGAGTGTACTTCAGCATCACTCACTGTGCCCGCTGATGCTGTTCTCCGGTGCTGATTAGCTACTAAGGGCTTACTGTCTTCTAGTACAGATTGCTGAGCGGCCTCATCCATGCTCAGGGAGGCCTGTTCTAACTGTGCAGTGATGTCATCCAGGGAGTAGTTGGCATGTGACGGCTTAGTTATCCTATTAGATGAGGAAGACAGTCCTTTCAAAGTGCCATGTTTTGACGAATGTCGACTAGCAGGCAATTTCTGAGTGGCTTTTGTTTCTGTGATTTGACGCTTACTATTTCCTGCACCTATACTACTGAGCTCCTGCTCTATCGAGCAAAGATCAGCCATTAGGGCATCCAGGTCCACAGTTTCTCCCTGATTCAGAGCTTCTGCAAAGAACAGCATGCATGAGGTTTCCAGAACACAATGAATCATAATTTATACATTCTATTATAAATCAGTTAATAAATGCAAGGAGGAAAAGCAAAAATATTCATTCTATTGGGCCTTAAACCTATCAAATACAGCATTTCTAACAGATTTTTATTTCAAATTCCAAGAGAAAAATTTTAGAAGCAGAGTTCATCTTTTAAGATTTATAGTAATCAGAGGAGAGTAAAATTATGAGTTAAAAGACAAAAATAATGCAAAAATCATATATTTTTCCATGGTTTTAACCACATCTCCCATGCAATTTTTTTTACCAGAGGCTCCAAGTTATTAATATGACCGTTGCCCTGGTAGAAATGTTAATACCTAAAAAGCCGAGGGCATAAATAGAGAAATGTTGGGGCCTAAAAAATTACAGATTCAAATGTCAATTCCAAAAACTGTAAAGCTGACTAGATAGAGTTCATTAAATAAAGGCTAGAGGGGCTGATTTTTAAATTACTAATAAGATAATTTCACTGAACTTTATTCCAGTGAAAATACAACATTGCAATTAAGTTTGTTGTAGGATTCCACCCGAGTCTGTACTTTGTCAATTATTAATAAGTCAACTAGAAAATTTTAGTTATGTTTCAGTTTGTTTTTTTTCTGTGATTATTTGTATTAGTAATAAAATGCACAAATCAAGAAACCTAAGAACTCAGTCAAGTTATGCACGCAGTTTTTATATTGAGCTACGTGGAGCTGCATTACTTCCACACTATACAACTTACTATACTATTGTACATTTTATTTCCAATTACATCTTACCATTCAAGTTGTATATAGAGAAGCGATAAGAAAAATTGGCCATGTTTGTTTCCTGGCGAAGAGGAGATCTTTTTATTGGTTCTGTGGGCTTGTCAGAATCCAAACTCTTTAAAAGAAGAAAACTTAATTAAGTCATACTAAATTCAGGTTTCAATGATATAAAAAGATATATAAAGTCTGTTTTATGATTAAGTGAATTGTCATATAACAGTTAATAAAACCAAAGTTCTTCTAAGTAATTGCCTCAAGGTCTCAAGGTAAAGTGTAATTAGTTTTCATATCATTTTGGTCATAGTTTTTTTTTAATTTTTAGATATATGCTTACTTAAGGCACTTGAGATGGTCCTAGTTCAGAGTAAATTTCCTTCCAAATACATCAAGCATAGTGACTGAGCTTATTTCACATAAATTCACTATAAAATAAGGTAGGTATATGAATACAGGCATGGTAAGATATGAAACAGAATAGAATAATGCAGAGAATTCTGCTATCTCTCTCCTCAGAGGAATCTGTTTTTGGTCCAGCATAGCCTCGTTCTTGGCATGAAGTACGCAGAAAATAAGGCACAATTTTGGACTCAAAATCAGTAAGACCCAAGATTTTAACAGAAAGTGACTACAACTTCAAACAATGATGAAATATCTTTGTTCTTTTCGAGCTCTATCAAGGTAAGGGCAAACTGTAAAGCAGCTATACTGCCTGTGATAAGTTATAAGAATTATACTGCACTCAGTACAGGGTAAGGTGTCTTGTGAGTTAACTCACCATCTTTTTAAATGACTCTTTTTTTCTAACCTTTCTACAATAAAGAAAAGATGTTCACAATAGAAATTCAGGGGAAGGGTAAGTAGTTACTTAGTGTCTATTTAAATAAATTTGTAAATATTAGGATTAGCCTTTAAAAATTTTAATTTCTGTTTATAATTATCAAGTAGATTTCAAATGAAAAAGAATGCTGAATAGTCTATCTGTAGAATCATGGAATTAAATTAGAATGCTATCCTCTTTACTCATTTCAAGATAAAATGAATCTATTCAGATAGTGTCCATCCAGTTTTTAAAGCTGTCGTATAAAGGAGATTCTCAACCATTAAGTGCCTTATTTCAAAGTTTCGCAAAACAGTTAGGAAATTCTCCTTTAACCCCAAGCCTAATTCTGCTGCAATTTAAGATCTAATCTCCTTCCCAGTGGAAATGAAAAATAATAAGTAGGTAATGTTTTCAGTAAAACTTGAGTATAACTGAGGACATATTAGAAGTCCACCTATTATTTATCAGTTCAAATAAACAGATACTTTTTATAATTATCTGCTGTGTCCATGATGCTGCGGCAACAAGCGAAATAGTAAGAAATACTCCTTGATGCCAAGAAACTGGTAATCTATCAGAGTTAAGGTTTTTAACCTTTTTTTTGGATGGGGTGGGTGGGAGAAGTGGAGGGGTGGGATGTCATTGAGAATGTGATAAAAGCCATGAACCTTCTTTCAGAAAAATGCAAATGGATAACAAAATTTTACAAACAATTTCAGAAAATTTACCAACCACTTAAAATTTACAACTGATTGAATATAAAGTTGAAAATCCATTAACACTGTGTGATATAGGTGCACAGATGACTCTTCGCAGTGAACTAAAATAATGAAATAAACAAGAAATGTGAAATTTTAGCCACTAACTTAGCAAAATATTTTTTGAAAACTTCTGAAGTGTTAAAAAATAACTTGTTAGCAGTGAGCCATGTTATGCAACAGTTTTTACCTGGTTTTCTCTATAGATTTATAAATAAAAAAGAACAGTCACAGCATTATTTTAGGACCAACTTTTTTGATGAATAGCTCTTTCACAATTGTATGTCAGGGAATTTTAGATCTAGGGAAGTATCCAAGGTTTTCTTTTCTTTTTTAAGATACAATGTATTTCACATATGCTTTTATTAGATGAAAGTTAACTACCTCATATAACAAAATAATCATTTTAAAATTACACACTCTTAAAATAAAAAAAGTTAATACACAATTGAGATCATTAATAATAGCAGTTTTTGACACTATCAGTGCTTAAAAGTAGTTAAAGAAAAATTTGGTTTCTATAGTCAAAACAGACTGATTAAACCATAAAACTATGCATTATAAGCCATGTAATGCATATACTACTTTTTCTTGTAACAGTTTATTGAATTGAAACCTACAGTTTTTTTAAATTAAGAAATCAATTCTTCGTTTTATTTACTTGTGATCATACAATCTAAACTGTTCTTAGTCAAATAGTATAAAGCAGCTAAAATAAATACCTGAGGAAGATTCTGAAAGCATTCCTCCCTAAGAACAACAAAATTATTAGAGATAATTCCTTCTAATAACTGTCTTTATAAAAACAGGAGAAAAGAAACACGATAGTCAAATAATTATATATTAGTAAACTATCATGAAATCTGATTCCAAACATTCTTCCCTTGAGAATAACTTTCTGAAATGAAGACAGAACCCATTGTATCTTACTTAGAAATCTGGCAGTTTGGGGTAATGTGTTGGGAATTCCAACCAAGCTCAGAGGGACAAGGTTTTCTTGTATTCAGTAGAAATGCCAACTGCTGTAGAGTAACATGGAGTCTACTCTACCCAGAGTGGCTGGACTGATATCTCCTGTTTTTTCCCTTTTTTGGCCCCTCCTCAGGTATGGACAATAAAATCCACAGTCAAGGAAACCCCACACACATCAGCTGGCCCTCACGTACTTTCCTTCATGCAGTATCATCTTCTTTTTATTTTTTTTAATTGAAGTATAGTCAGTTACAATATGTCAATTTTTGGTGTACAGTACTATGTCCCAGTCATGCATATATATACATTTTCTATTCCTCTACTTGGCTTCCTCCTTCCTTTTTCTCCTCAGCATAGAAACCACATAGTCTAGTCATCATCTCTATGCCAAAAACATTTTTAAAAAAATTAAGAATTAAACTGAAATGGTGTGGCAAAAGGAAAAGAACTCTATATAGGAAACAACCTTTATCACCACAAATAATGTTTTTAAAAATTTATTTATTTTTAATTAATTTTTTAAGCCAGTATTTTATTTAGGTTTGTTTTGGTTTTTGTTTTCCTGTTCATTTTTGGTGTGTGGGGGTAGGTAATTAGGTTTATTTATTTCTAGAGGAAGTACTGGGGATTGAACCCAGGACCTCGTGCATGCTAAGCATGCACTCTACCGCTTGAGCTATGCCCTCCTCCCTATTACCACAAATAATGTTGTTTCTCTTGATCAGAGATGAAGGGAACGATTTTTATGAAATTCTAGTAGGATTAAAAGCATTATTCTCAAAATTCAGCGTTAACAGGTTATGGTCACAAACATGTCTGCTTTTCAAAATGATCTAGCAAGAATTACATGAAGAGTTTCTCAATTTTAATTCCAGACTACAACAGAAAGAAATACAGAAACAAACTAGTACTTTAAGTTTCCACCTAACTACCTACTTTTCTACTGGTTAAGGAATCTCATACTTAAGCAATTTACACAAAAGTTCTTCCCAGAAATACTATCTAAGTTTGAGTGAAAATAAGTTTTGTTCTAATGTTCTCACTGTCATAAAATTAAAGTTGTTTTAATACACATAACTATCTTCATACTGAATATTGAATATAATGTACTAACTGGGGTAGTAACAGCATATGCCTTTATTCTAACAAGTTACCTGGTTTAGAGGATAAAGTCATTCTTTTTTTAAAAACCCAAGATCCAACAAAACAAAATGGAAAAAGCTTTGCCGCTGTTTTAAAATGCAGGGGGTAGGGTATAGCTCAGTGGAACAGTGCATGCTTAGCATGCACGAGGTCCTGGGTTCAATCCTCAGTACCTCTGTTAAAAAATAAATAAACATAATTACCTACTCCCAACCAAAAACAGACAAACAAAAAACCCACAATAAAGTGCAGCAAGGGATGAAATTTTGTCAGTATCCTGGAATCATGTAATAGACAATATCTGCATATGAGGATATTATTTATGATGTAAAATGTATTCATACTAAGTTATGGACTAGGATTTGCTAAAATTTAGATTTTTACATGCTGGGCTTTAAAACTTTTTAGCCAGCAATTTCAATTTATGAAACAGATTTTAAGAAGTCCCTCTGAATGCACAGAACCTGTTGAAAGCATTATTCTTTTTAACTCCTTAAAATAACCACAGATAGTATCTTGTGTTCTAGTGTTAACAGTCATTTACTTGTTAATGTTTTGGACATTTTCCCTTAATAGCAGTACTTTAAAACATAACCTATACCCACATCCTTATGTCTACACAGTAAACTTTTAGCACACAGTTATGACCTAAAATCCTCAACTAGTTTTTCAAGCACTATTTCTAACCTGGGTGAGTTTGTCTAGCTCCCCCAGCCAGGCTCCAAACATTTTGTCCAGGTCCTGATCTTCCTTGTCACTGTCTTCTTCAGCACCATGGTCAACTTCTTCATCTGATAGCTGCTCCATCTGGAATACAGATATTTGTATAGAATGAACAGTTACAGGCTGAACTTGAAAAAGTATGCACTGTATGTACTGATATATACTGCAACTCTCTATAGAGTCAGGCCTTCAAAACTATAGATACGTTATAAAAGGAAACTGGAAGTCATTAATGGGGAGCAAGTTATTACCTTATTCTGTAAAAATCTGTTTAGATACAAATAAATATGTATTGTCCAACAAGCATTACCGAGAACATACAAAACAAAAATTTTAATCTAGTTTGTTGAATTAGTTCTTCCTTCTATCCTACTCTCACTTTCTACCCCATTGGTGTTTTATTTACTTCCCTATCAGTCCCTACCAAAATCCATGAAACCAGAATTGAAATAGAAAACTAGAATTGAAAACTTTATATATACAAAATTTCCTACATGTGGTGACTTTTCAAGTTTAAGTCCCTTGAAATAAGATAGGTTTTCTTTCTTCCCATTAATAAAATAACATGATACCTGACATGGAACTTGTATATTATTTTGTGAAGAGAGGATAAGATTACACAAAACAAAGTAAGATCAATGACTGACCAGACACTAAAGATTCTTAAAGATTAATCTGATTAATATAAGATATTTTATTAATAAAGATTGAGAAATCTTCAGTAAAGCTTGGCTTTGCTTAACAACATATTCTAAATTTATTTGACCACAAATCCTTTTCCTTCAACTTGTAGTAATAACTATTAACTTTCCCAGGGACACAACAAGTATCTTCATTGTACATGCCATATTCTTGACTCACATTTATGAGTCAGCTTTGGTTCCAGTGGACCCAGGCAATATTCAGAATACAACCTGTCAGTTATCTTAAACAATTCCTCAGAGAATAAAGATATCCTTAATCTAGGTTAAGAATTTGCGGACAATTTATGCCTCCAAAGCAGCAATCAACAAAATTATCTCTGTGATCCTTAAATGTGGTTATGAGATACATAAGGAACTTAACTATCTCATGAGGTGCCATGAAGTTAAATTTTGGTTTGTTTGTTTGTTTGGGGCGGGGTAATTTTAAAGTTTATTTCTAGAGGAGGTACTGGGGATTGAATCTAGGACCCTGCGTATGCTAAGCATGCTTTCTACCTCTTGAGCTATACCCTCACCCCATGAAGTTAAATTTTAAACCTTATTTTACTATTAAAATTTTACAGAAAGGGTCAATTGAATAATGTTGCAAAATCAAAACTGAATTTAGTTTTAATGATGTTGAAAATCAGATCATATCCCGTTTACTCACTTAAGAAATTCTCATCTCTTAATATCTTAATTCTTTCATTAACTTAATATATAAGCATGTATAAATCAAGGCATTCTACCTAGACAAACGGAAAATGGGCCGACTAATTCTCCAATTCATAAATTTGGCTCTTAAAGAAATTTGGCTTTTATAGTTCACTTGTATTAATACCATTTCTAAGATTTTTTATTCATTACTCAATTATTTACAGATCAATCTCAATAGAAATCTGATATTATACTTCAGTAAAATACCTACCCATGAAAAACAAAAAGTTAGTGCAAAGAAAAACCCCATCTGACCAGTGACTTACTCACTCAAATAATTATTGCTACTTTGAGAACATCTAGGAGTAGTAATACCTAGTCTTCATGAGGGCCAACAGCAACAGAGCTGGGGACAGAGTGGTCAACTTCCTCTTCCTCCCTAATCCTTAAAACTAAACACACTAGAATAACCCAGAAGTGAAAATATTCTAAAATAACTCTGCTTTGAAATAATGATACTTATGCCCACACTTCCCTTCTGAGCACACACTGCAAACGGCCATAAGGATGATGCTATGCTGGAAAAAACCGAAAACAACAGGAATTTGCGTTTACAAAGCAAACACAGAACAGTTCAAAATGAATATGACTCTTTTAAATTATGGATCCAAATTGAAATACAGACTCCACATCAAAGTCTAGTGTGTTTTGTGAGTTTTTTCCCATTATTCAAACTCAATAATTATTTGGGTTTTTAAAAAAATCTTTCAATATTTTAATAGTTTTGTTTCTTATTGCAGACTACTATTAACTCAAGTGAAGGAAAATATGGCTAAGGAACAATGACAGTCATAAAATAAATGGAAATTTTGAAGCACCTATTTGATTTTTACCATTTATGTAATGTTTACCAATTCTGTCCTTGAATTTCTGTCACCACATGGGTTATTGATAAAAATGAACTTAAGACACTTTATTCAGAGACTTTTCCAATAAAAATTGAGGTCCTACAACATTTCTTAAAAGATCTACACTCTAAAACAGCACTCTCCATTCTCTAGAAGCTGATGTTAACCCTTATTCAACTACCCCTACCCCACTGTTTCTGTCTACTACACCCACCCAGTGAGGAGCCCCAAGGAGTTTTCCTACAGGCTCTGCACTCTCTAAAGTCAGCAAACCTAGCTAGGCAATTCATTCTTTGTTATATATCAATCCTGTCTCCAATAAATCACAATTCTAAACCTGAATTTTCCCAACATAATGTCCCTACTGCAAATGATGACAGCAGAAAATGCAAATATAACAACAGTTAGTCAATTGTCCCTCCAAACAAAAGAGAGAAAATTTTTTTAAAAAGAGAACTTTATAAATTTTGTTTTAAAAATAATTTGGATTTAAATGGATAGCTTCCAGTGTGATGCTTTTCCTTAATGATGTGGAAATAGGCCCAAGAAAACTATGCCACATACTAGAATAAACACTATTACTCTTTTATATTAGGTACTTTGGGAGGAATATATTAAAATTTCACTCAAATTCTCTGCTCTGTTATACCTGAGGGAAATTATGTACTGAAAGAATAAACGTATCCTACCACAAATAAAAAGACTTATTCCTCCAAAGTGCAGACTTACTGAATTACAACAAAACCCGAAGTCGCTGGTAGGTTGAGAAGGCCATGAGTGACCCAGGCCTTCAGGGTCCTCCCTGACTCCCTTCCCACTCTCCCCTCCAGCAGTAGCCACACTGTTCTGCCTGCTGTTCCTTGGAGCAGCTTAGGGGACGGAAAGGTATGGATTCTGTTTTGAATTGAGATTGAGAGATGCCTAGCAAACATCCAACTGGAAAAAAAATGAGGAAGTTATTAGGACTCAGGTAATTAGAGGTTTTAGTTAGTCTAAATATTATTTCAAAATCATATTATTTATTACAGAAAAATAATAATTCTAGCTAATAATGATTTAGTTAATATTTTAAACTACTTTACAGTTATTTTATTCATGAAATGAAAATAGAAATAATGGAGGGAATGATCCACCACTGTTTACAATGCTGGTTGGTTTCATTTCACAGGTAACAGTGAATAATTGTGCTTCAATTATTACCGGTTAAAACTTGTAATATATAGTACACTCCACTACATAAGACAAAACCATCCATTGCCTTAGTTTGAATCAGTATTATTCCCACTAAATTTTCCATGAAGTTAATTACTCAAGCACATTTTCCCTATTAATCTTCCTCTTGGAAGATATTTTGGTTTACTACTCAATTTCCTCATCGCAAGACAGAATGGTGATCTTTATCAAAGGCGGGGCAGGCTTAGATTAGGGTTTAAGGATTGAATAAATATATTCCAGGTAGGGCAAATTATAAAAAGCAATGAAGAAAGTGTGTTTTTGTGAGAACGTCATGAGACTGAGTCAAATAAAACAAGAGGGAAGAGTGAGACTTAAAAATTAAAAGTCAAGGACTAAGGTGGGAACTTGAAAGCCAAGCCTATTTTCTTTTCTCCAGAAGACAACTGGAAAGAACTAAACACAGAAGTGAAAGAGGTAGAGGGAGAAATGGTATTTTAGCCAGAGGTCATGATGCCTCTGTAAGAGTTATTAAAGAACAGAAAGACCATTAGAAGGCCACAATAGATACCAGGTAGAGATAATTATAGATACAAAAATTAAAGTCTTGAGAAGAAATACAACTTACACAAGTCACATGCTTAGAGCGGTAAGAAAAATACATGGTATATAGCCAGGGTGCCTTATTTATTACCGAACTCTTTTTGTCCCTTTAATTCAAAAATTCAAAAATCATTCAAAATAATTGCTTTTTGTAAAAATAAGATACTATGAGAAGGGGGCCTATAAAGACTTTCAGGTTCAAGGAATGCCCCCAACTGTGCAAGATACAACCCTTGCAAAATAAAAGCAAGAGGAAGGAAGCCTAAACCTGACAAAAGAAACAATAAGGAAAAAAAACTGTTAAATTTAGTACAGCACAAAAAGAGGAAGAGGACCCATCAAAAGGAGGGAGGAAGTCAAAGCAGAGAAGGAAAAGGAGAGACATAGGACACAACACAATGTAAAATGAACTGAGAGTTGTGGGGGATGGAAGGCTGTTAAGTACTCATCCTAACAGGGCACCAAGAGGTATGTTTCTCTCCAGACCTACAACTCTTAGTTCTGCCATGAAATAAATAGTGTAAACTGTGTAAACTGTCCAAGTGGAAACTGGGAATTTAATAAACAATTGAATTTACATGAGCTCTTTACAGAATCAAGATATTAAACATGTGTGTATAGTAACATTTTCCTCAGGTTTTATCTTTCAATTTTGTCGGATGGTCTCTTTTTTTAAGACACTGCTAAGCATTTTATTTTTTTACGTTATCAAATGTACAAATGGTGAAAAACATTCTCACACTGCTTTGTTCAGTAAATTCTTCTCCATCCAGCAATCAGATAAATGCTTATATAAATTTTTAGTTTTATTTTATTATTCAATCTTTTATGTAATTATTGTTTTATATAATAGTAGCTTAGTTTGGCACATAATGTGAAAGTGAGAACCTAAACTGACTTTTCCCCAAATTCTAAATTCCCATGCTTGATATGTTTCTTTTATTTATTTATGTTCTATGCATACATCAGGTCCTTTTTCTGAGGATCCTTTTCCACTATGACCCTTCTCATAAATAAACATCATTTTATAGCTTGTCATTAATTTACGAAGCAAGTGAGTTTTTAAAAAAGTGATCAAAAGTTGCT